GGATGCATTGTGGGCCCGCTGTACACTGATCAGTCCATGGGGGAAGGGAGAGGGGGCTCCTCTGATGACATGTCTTTCACGTGTGCTTCAGAGTGCGGATGCTATGATTTATAACGTACGTTTGTGCAAAAGAGCTCAGATTGTTAGTTCACTGGTACTCTACATGTCTTGGACATGTTGATGTTACATTTCAGTGGGTAATCTATCATATCATATGGGTAATCTATGGTATGCCCCTACAACGACGAATCCTGCTTGCGCAATAGTCGCCGTCGACAGCGCCGTCGGCAGGTCCTGACTACCATAGATGATCGCTAGCGACATTTCGTATCCTTTACTTGGTTTCCCCCAGAGCTGTAAAATGAATGGGCCGTCCACCTCATCGATTTTCCCGTTGATTTTCCCGATTTCCCCCGTTGTGGGAGATCGCCTAGTTGTGTGAGCTGGTGCGGGGTCAGGTGTTGAGGTGCGGCGTCAGTTGGGCCGTGTTATGCTGACGAGGCGTGGTGTCTGGGCCGACGCCGATTGTGGCGCGGGTGGCGCGCCAGCCCGACCCGGGCCGTGCCGCCCGCCCGCGCCCGGCTCCCGGCTCTTGGCTCCCGGCTCCCGGCTCCCGGTGACACCCCTCTGCGGTGCCGCAGGCTGTGTCAACGTGTTGCTCACCAATCCGCTGTGGGGTGGCCAACACGCGCATGAAGATGGAGGGCGTGGCGGAGCTGAGCGAGCGGGTCCGCGGGCAGGCGCGGCCGCCCGCCAGCAGGCGCTACCGTAGTCTGGCCGGGTGCGGTCACAAGCCGGGCCTTGTTCCCAAGGCTGACTCTAGCGCGCTATGCTCCTGCGTGAGGCGGGGGACCCGCACCGATCAGTCAGCGGCTCTGGCATGAGGCGGGGACCCGCACCGATCAGCCTTTACCACCACCCTTTTCGTGGTCAGCCTGCACGTCGGACTCCGTGATGTGAAAGTGAACGAGACGCAGGTCTTCATTGACGCCATATAGCCGGGCGTCGCGCGACAACTGGTCGTGTTTCGTCCGCCCGGTCGAGCTCATTCGTGCGCTCGCCCGCTCGCCCGCCCGGTGACACGGCGGCTGGGTCGTCGGCAGACGGCGTGCGTCGCATCGCCACTGAGGAGGGCACCGGCGCCCTCTACAACGGCCTGACGCCCTCGCTCATGCTCACCGTCCAACCCGGCCGTTCAGTTCGTGGCTTACGAGGCCGCCAAACGCTATCTGGAGGTGAGTCGGCGGGGTCGACTCCATCTGGGCGGGACCGGCACGTGCCAGCGGTAGAGCAGGTGACGGCCCTGGTCGGCGGAAGGAGGAGCTGGGCCGGCACGTGCCTCCCGTTCGGCCAGCCTCCATGGACGGCAGTCCAGTTCCGAGCCTCCATGGACGGCAAGGGTGCGGGGTGGGCTAGCCCGTGCGAGCGACTGCTGCTGATCTACAGGGGGTATCGCTGCGGTCGTCCTCGGACGCCACCACACGGGCACCATCTCACACTGACCAATTGGTGGGCTCCGGGCTGTCACTCGGGGGTCTTCATTTGCGTGACGAACATGTCCTGACGGCTTCAGTGCTCTCCATATGTTCTGACCCCGCTGTGCTCGCCGTGTGTTCTGATCCGCTGTGTTCGCCGTGTGTTGTGACCCGCGCCATGCTCTCAGTATGTTCTGACCCCGCTGTGCTCGCCGTGCGTTCTGACCCCGCCGTGCTCGCCATGTGTTCTGACCCTGCTGTGTTCGCTGTGTGTTGTGACCCATGTGCGTTGTTCCCCGCGCCGTGTTCTGACCCTCGGCTGTGTCCTCCAGCGTCTGAAGCCGGGCGTGCCGCTCAGCGCCACCACAGTGTTCGTGGTGGGCGCCGCCTGCAAGGCGCTGGCCACCATCATCACCTACCCCCTGCAGATGGTGCAGGCCAAACTGCGGGTATGGCTGCCGCCTCCACCGGCCCCCTATCGAACGCCGGGCCGTCACTCTTCCCACACGTTACGGGCGTGGCCGGGTTTGCCGGCAAATGTCAGTCTTATTGAAGCTCGGTGATGGCGCACACATTGAGCGGCTTACCCGCTCGACGTGACAAGCTGTGTTCGTGATTGCCTGTCACGTTTGTTATTGTTTCTTATCCGTGCGGGACTTGGTCGTCTTTCCATGACGTTTCTTTTCATGCTGGTATATTTTCGGTGGTGTCTTAAAGCGACCCTTTCCGTGGTCTCCAGTTATTTCCTTGGGCGCCTTTATGGCGCCGATCTGGTCGTCACTCGTGTGTAGTCTCCAACTTGGCCTCAAAATAAAGCCTCTGCGCGTTTATGACGGACGTACGGTAAATACGTTTTTTGCAACATCCACATTCATCATGCCTCACAAAGCATTCCGTGCGTCGAAATCGCACGACTCTGCAGTTCGGTTGTCGTCGCAGGCGTCGGTGTGACCGGTCCGGCGGCAGCGGTGTCTCCCCCGAGCCTCACGACTGCGTGCCGGTTTGGTCTGACCTGATCTCACGGAGCGTAGTCTGATCTGATCTGGTCCGGTGCAGGTGGGCGGTCTGGTCCTCGAGGACGGCACCAGGGAGCTGCGCGTCCTGCGCATCCTGCTGCTCCTCTACAGGTCAGGCGATCGGGCGCCGGGCCTCAGTCCGCGTACCGCGCAACGTATGGGTTGTGAGGTCGGATTGTGTGGACAGATGATTCATGCCCAAGTGACATCTTGAACGTAGTTAAGTACGGAGATCAGAGGCCTCGTCACGTTACGGCGGTGGATGTGGGGCTATGAGCTAGTTGTGCCGCCAAACTAGAGCGAGAACGAAACCAGAGGTACGGGACTCGGTCCCTCGCGTTGCTCGCCTTTCCTGCCACGGTGAGAGGCAGGTAGGCGACGCCATGTAGCCTAAGCGGCCGAGCGCGTCGTAAAGTCTCGATGACGAACGAGTTGTGCCGCCCTGTGGAGGGCCTCTTCCTTCCTGCCGGACGGCACTGCCACCGGACAAGGCCGCCATCTCACCTCGGGTCGGCCGTCCGTAGGCACGGCGGCCTGGCCGGCGTCTTCAAGGGCCTGGAGGCTAAGATGCTGCAGACAGTGCTGACGGCGGCGCTCATGTTCGTGCTCTACGAGAAGATCGCCCGCTTTGTCTTCTTCCTGCTGCTGGGTCGGCGGGGGTAGACGACATTAGTGCTGGACGGCTGTGCTGTCGTTCTGCCGGGGTGGCGCCGGCGCTCGACTCGAGACTTGGCCGCCGCGGGTATTGCCTGTCCAGGCCGACACCCCGGCCAGCACCGCACACCCGCGCAACAGTCGGCACAGTGCAGGGCATTGTCAGCGATCGGCGGTGCCGTGTTGTCAGTACCTCAGGCTTATAGACGTCATATACTACGCCTAGTTTTCAGTTGGTTGTCATGTACCAGGGATGCATAATTGCATGTTCGTCACTAGTATTATTTCGTAAAACGTGACATGAGGCGCTGATGTAGGCAAACAAATTGGGCGATTAGCTTGTCGGCGAGTGAGCCAGGGTTGACATGACGTGGCAAAGCTCCTTCCAGCGTTAATTACTTAGGAGCACCCAGGCACGTTTCAAGGGTGACTTGGCATTTGCATCGCCATTGCCTTCTGTTTCGAGTGCGTCCTAGATCAGTTGTGAGTCAATTTGAGTGACCTTTTAGCCTGTACATTCTCGGGATCTACACGGATTGCGGGCGTGAGGCGCCCAGATTTCTCTCAAGTTGAGATATATTTATCAATAAGGCCAAAAATATATGCGTAGAAGTCATTTTTTTCAGAACGTACTGTACAGGTCAATTTGCCCATGTGAACCATTATTCTTGGCTGCTCGTTGCTGCTGTCGCAATGTTCGTTGCTTCAAATTTTTGGGAACAACGCCACGCTGTCTGTGCTATACGTACCTCGCAGTTTTACCTCTCCAGACCGCGCATCACCAGAGAAATACGCGGAGGCTTGGCTCGTCCAATCCGATGCGTGCTAATATTCCGTGCAATATGCAGCTGACCAATCAGTCGACCGTGGCCGGTGGCCGGTATCTGTCTGTCGACAGCGAGCCGTGGCTGTGACCATTGGAGGTGCGACTCTGCGCGTGCCTCTGCGACGGTACGAGATTCTCATGTGTTCATGTGTTCCCTCGCACATCCGTATGTTTCGGACGGGCTTGGAGCGCGGCGAGTGGAGCGGCGTAATTGAGCGCTGGTTCGTGCCACCATGTGAGAGTGTGGAATACACTAGCAGGAATGGAGAGTTCTGTTACTAGTTGTATGATTCAGTTTGTCTTTTACGACCTCCGTCAGCGAGACATGAACGTAAAGCAGGACCAGACAGCGACTCAACCCGACTGATTTTCCAACGGGGTGTTATTCGAACGCCATGAGAGTGGCGACATCGCGAGCACGTCGCCCACCCGCACGATTTGAATAGGTGTCCAGTGTTATAAACAGCCACGCGTACTGCATACGATCACTTGTCGGGATGTTACACACATGGTGCTGTAGCTGGGTGGTGGACAATTAATACACCCACTGGCACCCGACCTGAACGAATTGGCCGCCATCGTTGAGGTCAAGTAAATGGATTGGGAGCCGCGACGATGGTGGGATGGACGTATGCAGCGCCCATCAGGGTTTAGTCCTCTGAGGTTACAGGGGGCGGCTGGAGGGGACGAAAGCCAGTTCCAGCGAGGGCCGATTCGAATTTATGTTACATGTTGCCGGTACTTATCACTTTCTCGCTAATTCCCGACATACCCCAAGATAACTCGTGAGTCGGATGCGCAAAATCTCACTTCTGCAGTGTTATAACTGGGTTATTCATTGCTGAGCTTTGCTTATTCTATGCAACCAGCATGTTTTTTTTTCTCCAAGGCATACTGATGTCAGTGCTCTACACCTGCCTTATCTGTCCTGATCATTCGTGTAACTTGCGGAAGCGTGTCCCGGCCGTTTTCATGGAATTGCCTGCATTGCAAAACCAGCTGATTTAACTTCTCGATATCCTGTCAGCCCACTGACTTCTGCTAAATTGACAAGCCGCGCTTTCTTAAGGTTCACTTCACATCAGCGGTGCTCGCATCTAGGTTGTGAACGCATCTAAATAATCACGTAAGAACTGGTTCACTGTGGTTCACACGTCAGCTCCAGCACCACCGGCTAAATCCAGCAGAAAGTGATGAATTCCCTGTATTTACACAGCGATGGTGGATGACGTGGCTGAAGCAGAACGGTACCGGGTGATAACGGCCTGCCCTGTCGCCGTTGACGCACTGGGCGAGCGGCCAGAGGTCGGGGCCAACACACTAGGGACGACATCGGCCGCGGTCTGAGGCGCCGCACCAGCTGGCTGGTGGCTGGCGCTCGAGCCCAGGCGCCAGGCGCCGGTCAGCGCAGCAACTCATTCTGCACCGGCACTGCCCAGCACAGCATTTTTTTACAGCAACCGATGTACCGCATGGAAACAGAAAAGGCTCTGGGTCAGGGTGTCGCCGTATGCACCGACGGTGGTCAGACGAGACTGTGGCGGCGGCGGCGGAGCCAGCGGCGCCAGCTCAGGCCGCCCTCCAGCCGCGCCCACACACACCACGTTAGAGCCATCCCCGGACGAGGGTCACTTGCTCGGCCCTCCGACATCACCCGCTCACCCTTGGGCGCCGCTGCTGGCCATCTCGCAACTCGAACACCACTCGCCACTCGCTCAGTCATCTGACGTCAATGGCTTCTCTATCGGACGCCACCTCACACATCCGGCACACCCGTTGGCCTCCCCGCCGACGGTCAGCCAGCCATCGGCTCGTCGCCGACGACGCGGATCTCCAATCGCTCGCCGTTCTCGTCGACCAGGTATCCCTTGCCGTTCATCACCTGCTCGAGCACCTCCTGCGGAAGGCTGATGTGCTCGGTGCCGTCGGCCGTGCCGACCAGCGCCTGGCCGCGCGCCGCGCCCGACTGCGGCGACAGCGTGTCAGCCACCACCGCCTCCACGGCCGCGTCCACGGCTGCGCCTGGATCCACCGGGCGGCGGCGCTTCTTGCCGCGGCCCCGGCCTGTGGCCGGCGGCGGGGCGGCGGCCGCCAGCAGCTCGGACGGGTCCAGCTGCCAGGCCATGTTGACACCGCGCGTCCTGTTGGCGCGGCGGGGCGACGTCAGGCACGGGCGCCGGAGCTGTTCCCGGCGTGCCGGCACAGCGTAGTGTGTCAGCAGATACAGGGGTTACCCGCGACTGTCGGGCGCGACCACAACACATCCAGCCGCACGCCATGGCCACAGAAAAAAAAAATGTAAGGAGCGCAATGCAAAACAGTGAACCATCTAATCTAATCCATCTAATCCATCATTGTCGCCTTGGAGTCCATCTAAAACTCAAATGCGACAATCCTTAAAACGCCTGCACATCAATTCCTTGAACAGCGCTACGACATACAAATACACGGCACACTTACTTTTCCTCCAGCTCCTTCGCGGAGAGCAGTGGGAGACCTTGGGCCATGAGGAAGGTGTAGTTCTCCTTGCCGACCTCGGCTAACAGCTCCCCGCACTCCAGCACCGCCTCGTCTTGGGCCGTCAGCTGCTTCCGCTTGTCCTGCCCACAGCCGAGTGACCAAGTGCGTCACGCCCAGTCGCGCCCCACGGCAGCTTCACGTGATATGAATATCTGGATCGGCTACAGCTGCGTGGAAAGCTAGGTGCGGTCCAGACAAAATGAAAAGCGCCCAGACGCCTGACAGCGATGTGTAGCTATCCCTCCACAGTCGTTGTCTTTGATGCGCATGGTCAAATGGCAAAACTGCCGACAAAGAGGGATTGGCCGATGGAACGCGGGAGTGGCGCGTCAATACCACGGATCATGATAGTAAATCATGCGACGCTTAAAACACTTCTTTGAGGTATTCCACCCACTTCCAAAAACCAATTTAAAAGATGATGGCCGTTTCTTATGCAAAACAGACGTTGCGACAGAGTTCTGCAGAAAGACGCCTGTAGGGCCACGGATGCCGTGTTTAAAGAGTTTGACTGGAAGTCCACGACGCCAGGTTGACTCGTGAGCCCTCTTAAAATCAAAGAAGATGGCACCTAAATGGCGACCCTGCTTAAAAGCAGCGCGCACAGCAGTCATGTGTTAAGGGGTGGTCCACCGTGCAGCGGTTTTTCCTAAAACCACACTGAACATTGTTCGAGATGCGTTTGCCACCTAAGTACCACAACAATCTCAAGTTCATAATTTTCTCAATCAAGTACATAACGGTGAGGTAACAGAAATAAGCCTGTAATCCAGCAGATCTAAGCCCGTCTTACCCGGTTTAAAGTGACACTACCGTAGCATTTCGCCAGTCCACCGGGGAATCACCTCCTTTCCATAACAAGTTAAAACTACCCAACACGGACTGTAACGCACGAGGATAGATGTTTCAACATCTCGTGGATGTGATCGGAACCTTCCGCCACGCTCCGCCAAGTCTAAACGGTCGCTTGGAATGTATTCACAGTGAATGGCAAATTGTAACCACGCTCCTCGGACGTTAAAAAATCACGGCAATTGACTCGACGCGTACTCCATGACGCAAACATTGTATCCTATCGTTCCCTGCTCGGCAGCGATCCGCTAGCGCCCACGTGATCGCATTGGCCACATCGATGGGTTGTACAACTTGGCCACGTGAACGCAACAATGGTGGTGGGGTGGAAGAAAAATAGCCTGAAATTCGTTTGATCTGTGACCACAGCTGAGATGGCGGGGTGAACCTGCTTAGTTTGCTAACGTATTCCCTCCAGGAAACACGCTTCGCCTCGCGAATGGTGCGCCTTGCTGCCGCCCAAGCATTGCGGAATACGATCAGAGTTGGCCAAGTGCTACTGTGATCGAAAGCCCTGAAGGCGCGTCGGTGTGTACCGGTGTCTATTTCCAAAAAAATACCAATGTCTGTTAAAAAATATCTAAAAATATCAATGTCTATCTCCGTGACAGAAGCCTAAACAACCCTAACCTAGAGAAGCCTTACCTTATCTCATCCTGTCTGACCTATTGGTATCACAGCAGCATTTGTGAGTCACCAATTATTGTAAAACTCCTACTGTCATGCCATGCACTTAACCAACTTAACCTAACTCGGAGTAACCCATATGTTGAGGAACCTTGTTCATATAAGGCGGTTTTAAGTGAGCTCGGTTTTGAATGACTTGTAGACTTCTGAAAGGGAAACATGGGTTTCATATTTGTGGTCAGAATATATCAGTTGGGAGTGAAACATTCGCATAGAATATGGGGAAGAAGCGAAGACATCCTCGTAGCCCGCTTGCGGTGTCGCTTTACACCGCAAGCGGGCAATTCCAGGGCGCTGCCATCACACAGCCTACCCTTACTTCAGATGGTGTGTCAGGACTGTTAAAACTCAGTGCGATGTTGTTCGTGGGGACCAGCTGCGCACCCCTGCGCACCTTGATGCGGTGAGCGTCTGTCAGCCCGAACTCAGCGGGGCCGTCGACTGTTTTCTCATCATTGACATCTTTCGGGTAAAAACAGTTGATGATGCATTTTGATGAGTTCTTTGTTCTATGAGCCTCCACAGTCATCGCCACCGACACGCCCTTCTTCCCTTCCGCATCCCGAACACAGTACACAAACCTATCCGAAGTCATGGCCCGTTTCGCCTCCTCTCCGCTCTGAAACTCGACCTAGATCCCACCACCCGCGCGCTTTTCGCATCGGTCCAAACCTTTCCAAACCCATTCCGCCTTTGAAAGGGCGAAATACACACCCATTCGGCCTTTGAAAGGGCGACAGGGACGATAGCGCCTTCTCGGTGCTTCGAAAATTCAGGATTCGAGGGGTGGGCGTTGACACACTACCACCTGTAGTCCCAGCTCGCCCTTCTTTCGGGGTGCGGGTGTTTTTGGGGATTGACGTTGTCATGCACGTAAGGTTTAGGCGTTCGGCACCGGGACCTCCCACCCACCACGGAACCCAACTGGGGGACGGCCAAACACTCCAATCGGGAGATGGTGACTGCCAGGGCTACTCCGGTGCTACACGGGGCGGGCGACGCCTCCCACACGCCCATGTGTAACCGGGGAGACCCCTCCCCGTGCTAACCGCGGTTCAGCGCCGTCGCCCCTTGACCCCTCAAGCCGCTGCGCGCGACCAAGCGCCCCAAGCGGAGACCTGCACGGAGCACCCAGCCGCAGCGCGAGCGGCAAGCCGCTAGACCCGTGTGGAGCCCCACTGGATCCCCGCGCCCCCGAATATCCTCGCCAAAGTTGAGTGATGGGACGTGCTGTGGCTGGCCCGCGCGTCGTGCCCCCTCAGCTAGCAGGATCCGATCAACGCGGGGACGCGGGCGAAGGGGCACGGCACCCCGACAAAACGAGGATGAGGAGTGGTGAGAGGGCCGGATGCGGAAATGCGGGTGATGAGGAGGGAGGTGGCGGGATACGAAGCAGGGGCTCACATGCCGGCGGGGTCGCTAGGTCCTGAAATGAACAGCTTGCACTGTCCGTCCATGACCGGAGCTGGGACCCCAGGGGGCGCTACTCTCCTACACCGGCCGAAGCTGGTGCCCCCGTTGGGGGGGGGGGGGGGGGGGGGGGGGGGGGGCGTGTGTACGTGTTTGCGCCCGTGCGTGCCGTGCGTGCGTGTAAAGCTAACATATTAAAACGTTGCTTTAATGAAAGAGGCAATGCTGCTTACTCATCTAACACATTGCCCATGCTGACGTGAGCATGGAGAGGGTTGTTTTGAATCATTACAATGTGGAGGCTCAAGAAACAGGCATTTTACGTGAATACACGACGGATACCGCTATTTTCTATGCATCTGACTCAGCACTGTCATTTTTCGGTGGGCCAATGCTGCTAGAAGAGCACACCCAAGCGATGTGAATCTCCCAAATCGCGGAAGTCCGGCTCACCTTGTCCAGCAGCCCAATCAGAATGCTGGGCGTGTTGCCCAGGATGCTGGTTTCCAGATCCTTCAGCTTCTTCTCCAGCAGAGAGTTCTCATTTTTCAGCCGCGCGATCTTGGCCTGGTCCTTGGTAGCCTCCACGCTGAAGTAGTCAACCGCCCGCCGCAGCTCGGCCCCCTGGCGCAAAGGCCCGCGACATGAGCAATCAACGTCTGAGAACACGCTCCTGCCCAGCCCTAGTACGCCAGTCACTGGCGCATCGCAGTACATCGCGCCGGGTACCTGCCCAGCCCCAGTACACCAGTCACTGGCGCACCGCGGTACATCGCCCTGGGTACCTGCCCAGCCCCAGTACACCAGTCACTGCGCACCGCGGTACATCGCGCTGGGTACCTGCCCAGCCCTAGTACGCCAGTCACTGGCGCACCGCGGTACATCGCGCTGGGTACCTACCCAGCCCTAGAACGTCAGCCACTGGCGCATCGCAGGACATCGCGCTGGGTCACGCCAGCCAGCCTTCTCGAGCAGGCATGATGTGACAGCATTCAACACGCGTGCGACTGTGCAGTTCCATATCATATATAACACGTAGTGACCTGTCCTTCGGTGTCGACGAAAGCCATGTTGCAGGGCCTCAGGATTCCTGCCAGCTTAGGCTATGCATGCATGTTGACAATTTCACCACATCGGGTTTAAAAATAAATAAATAATATTCAATAAGAAACTAAATCAATTTGGCTTTATAAAATACTAAATATAGGTTTATAAGAAAATTTCACTAGAAGTTGGAGCCGGCGCGACGTAACCAAAAACCCTCACTAGTACGCTGCTTGCAGAGATATCAGACATAATGTTATTTAAGCACGCATCTGAGAACAGTGTTTGCTCCACATAAGCAAGCACTGTTCTCTGTGTCACATTGGTAAATTTAACGCATGACGGCCATTACAGTTATGAAGTCATGACGGCCATTACAGTCAACGGACCCGAAAGCACCAATAAACAAACAAACAAAAAGCCGTAACGACCGGCGGTAGGCGGCCCAAGAACGACACCGTGCAATACGGCAGTCCTTCCAGCTGTCTAATTCGGAAAGCGGACACCCCAATGCGGTGGCCACCGCCGACGTCGTGGCGTGCTGAGGAACAGCAGCATGAGGGGCGGGCGGGACTCCAAGACCGATGACGTGTGGCCCCGGTCCCCTGGCCAGCCAGCGCTCACGCCCAGCCCACGCCGCGAAATTCACCTTTTGCACTTGGCTGGGATAGCACGCAACAGCTACGCCCCGGAATGAGGCAGCGCATGACATGAGGGAAAACGTCAGCTCCGATAACGAGTTTGCCGTCGCGAAATGGTGACGAATCCAATACGAACATGGAGAAAACAGGATGTAATTACACAATTTGACTAATTCGGACGTGCGACTACCAGCACAGGGTACCGTCGAAGCTGAAGCTCAGAATCTTCACGGAAGGCTAGGGGCGATATGCAAATGGAACTGTTAAAATGAGTGTGCTCTTTTTCAGAATGTCCATGCCGCGCACGACGTTTCCATACCGTGAGGCCTCGTCCTGAAACCGCTTGCCGCCAGCCGTTGGGGCTTCGGGAGCAGTGCAGTGCTCATGTCGAGACTTGACACGCGACATCGTGGAAAGTTAGTGCCTCTGTGCACTTTTCTTACGTTATAAGTATGTCCATCAAGACAGCATCATTATGTGTACCGCGTTCCACGCACCCCACGGACTTAAATGAAAAAATCAGCTATCCATGTAAAGAGCAATTTATGCTGAACACATGATAATGAGATGATGGTCAACATGGCGGTGGTCACGGTCAGATTTCTGCTGCAGTGCGCCGCAACCACGTGGCGCGATTTCAAAACTCGTTGATAGATGGTAGCAGGATCGACAGACATTCTGTGTGCAGGGTCTGCGAATAGTCGCTCGTGTGCAGACGCTGTCTTGTCAGACACGTATTGTGATGATGATGATGATTGGGGTTTTAGGGCGCGTCGACTTTTAGGGTCATTTTGCGCCCAGACACGTATTGTGGACACATACCCCGCCAATCATCGTTATCGGCTCCCACTCTGCACCCGGTACCCCGACCCACTGTCCGCGGCAGTGCCGTTATTTCAGGACTATTTGTCTCCCCAAACTTACCACGTTCTGCAGATCACGCTGTTTGGCCTGTAGAATCACCAGGTCGCGGTTGATTTTCTGCGTTTTCAAGGTCGTCTGAATGTTCACACGAGCCTGGGTAAACTCTGCAACGGACGTGACACGGGAACGGATGTGCAAGGCTGAAAATAATAACTTAATCGACTTATCATGAAAATCCTCTTCCTCATAAATACAGGATCAAAGGGAGTGATCAACATTTGTATGGGGTATTTATCTGAACTAACCATCCTGGCGACCATTGCGTACAGTTCAAAACTCTGTTCTTGAAGGGAATATCCCCCTTTTTGTACTCCTCACTTACTGTTACACCCTATGCGTACGATCTGATCCTCAATACCAGTTTTCTCAAACAACCTCCGAATAGCTGAAAACTTCAACTTGACGTAGCCGAAGCCGCACGAGCAATTCCATTTGACTTCCTGCTCACCACAATGAAAGTAATGATTCCATTTGTCTTCCTTTTCCGACGTGTGTGTTCCGTAATGTTGGCAACATCTTAAGAGTGTCCAAATGTTTGCGTAATGAATGCCACGAAAGCCTGAAACAGTCTATTTAGAAACTAAGGCATACGAACACGAAGCTTTCATTCCGCGAATCCAACGAAACTTTATACTATGGCTTTGATTTCTCCCCTATGGCGTCTAACCTTACAGGCTCTTTTCGAGGCGCACTTAAGGTTTTCAGAATGGGATCATCACGTGATCCATATGACGCAATGGTTCAAACGTCAACCAATGCGCTTCTCGGTGACACACCCTTGCCCGGTGGGCCAATCACAAACCTTTTATTAGCACCAATGGAGTGCTTACGTATATTTGTTTCCAGGTCGCCAGGAACTTTTTCCTAAATCCTCCTACGGGTATTGGTTGCATCTTGCGGTTTAAGAAATTTACATAGTTTTGCTGAGGTCACATCGGACACGACTGGCTGTCGCACAGGGACCTTGATTTTGGTGGTAAATTCGAGGTGGTGGACGGGACGATTGTCGTGCCGTGCATGCATGTGTACCGGGTAACACCTGAACACCTGTATTGTCCGCAGATGACCGCGTAGCTGTCTACGTAAATATTTAACACACTGCTATTACTGTAAAATTAGAATGGGCAGCTTTTTACGTAGAACACACGCCCAAATCCGAAATCATCATTACCATCACGGGCGAATGGTTTATGACGTCTTCATCTTGGCTTTTTTGGCCTATCAATCCTCATAGTACGGTGTAAATGAAACTTATGAGACTTATCTGGTGCAGATTGAGCCACTTATGTTGGGCTCAGTTTTTCAAAAAAGCCCATCTAAACCCCAATCCACCAAAAAATGCATCCCCTTCACCAGAACCCCTAAAACATCGCTGCACTGAATTTCATGTTTGGGTATAAATGCATTGCAGGTCAAGATGCAGCTTACTTTCAATCATTTTGTTACGTGTGAGAAAGGCTTTTGAAGTCTGAATGTGTTTGAATGTGCAGAACTCAGACCAGGCCGAAATGCACTTAGCTTTCACATTATTTTTGTGTGTGAAAAGCTGTAGACGTATAGCTGTGAGAAAAAACTCTTGCAACATCTAATGCCTAAGAATAAAGGTTGTGTTGAAATTGGTAATGACTGTGCACCAGGGCACAGGAGCTATGTTCAAGTTGGGGGCTAAGCCCCAAAATGCCAAAGTTGGCCCCTGAAATAAGATGGTGCCCCCCACCCCCACCACCAAGCCAGACAGTCAGTAATGGGTGCTCTACAGGTCAGCATGGCCCCATAGGATCAGAATGGGCTCTCTGCAGGACAAAGTATGCCTTGTGCAGTTAACAATGGGCCATGTACAGGTTAGAATGGGCCCACCCACTACAGGTAGGAAATGGACCTCCAAAAGTGGGCTCCATAGACCAAAATGGGCTCTCTACAGTACTGAAAGAGCCATCTACAGGCTAGCCTGGGACGTCCATAGTCCACAATATGCCCTCTGCATGCCAGAATGGACATTCCACAGGCTAGAATGGGCCCTCTAAGGCGTAGAATGTGCCCTTTTTCAAGCCAGAATGGCCCCCCTATATGTCAGAACGTGCTCTGTCCAATTACTAATGGGCCAACTGCTAGTCAGAATGGGGCCTCTACAGACCAGAATGGGCACTGCAAGTCGATATTGGGCCCTCTATAAGTCTAAATGGGCCCCAGTACAAGCCCAAATGGGTCCATCACATATGGCAACAGGTCCTCCACAGGGCAGAATGTGCCAGAATATCCCGACTACAGGCCAGAAATTCCATAGACTCACAAATACATACACATTCTTCTACAGGCCATAAATTCCATAGACCTACAAATACACAGACATTCTTCTACAGGACAGATATTCCATAGACCCAGGGTAACTTATGAGGGGCAGGCCAACATCAAAACCACCCTGTTTTATCACTCCAGAGCATGCTGGATGGGGGCATTTTTAGTATTGACTTTTAATTTGCTAACAGGAACCACATTACTCGTCGTTCATGAACTTCTACAAGGCCAGTACTGGTCACAAACCTAAAATGACCCAGGTCAACATTCTGTTTTCAAGAACATACTGCCTTGCCTAATCCTTGATGCTCATTCAAATGCAAAAATCAAAGCAGTCTCGCAAGATTTTGGTTACCGCGACCTTCGAAAGGTGAAACAATGTCACTGAACTTCAATGAGGACAGGTGACCTTCTGCTTAGAACAGGTCGCTAGGTTCATGGTGGTTGCATGAGGCCTGAGGGCACTTGGACACCATTGTGGAGTTTGACCTTGTCCGACCTTATTTGGCCCAACGTCATCACCTAGGAACCGTAAATTTTGACGCACGTGAGTTCACGTACAGGCCAACACACCCTGTGAATTTGGTGTCTCTAGCTCTCTTAGTTTCTGAGATCTCAGGGGGTTAAGTGGACCCCCACCGACAAAGAGCACTGAACCCGCCATCCGGGCGCGTGTTAAGGTAATTTGACATGCATCTGGGTTAATCTGATATATCTTGTTCTTTGCGAAGTCCCAGTATGTCTAATCTTACACGACACGACTATTTTAAACATTCTGTATCATAATTGATCGTGCGATGACTCGGTTACTGCACAGCGAGTCGGTTTTAAACAGTGTGACATAGGCTATCGGCTGTTGATTTCTGCCTAAGTGACTGGTCAAGGTGTTCTCAAGGTGTGCTAATGTTTGAGGTGATAATCTCGTTATTTTTCAACAGAGATCATCTGGATTGTTGTTGTATGATTGACAATTAGCTGCAAATAGATAATGTGCTACGTTGCGGGCATGTGTGCTACTTCTGGTATTTTTATGTGCTGTAAATAGCTCGCTTCGTACACTTATGATGCAAACCTTGCGTTAGTTCTGGTACACTCCATTGTGGTCAGGTACAGTCATGCAAATTAGTGCACGCTTGTAATGGAAATTGTATAATTTACCCGGCTACTAACTGGTAAAACTGAAACTCAGTGCGCCGAAAACGAGACAGAGGTGTTGACTGCGGGGTGTTGTACATTGTATTAGGGTGTTGGCAGTGTTATTCGCTTTGGCGTTAGGTTTTTGCTCGAATAAATTCAAGCTATGTAAGGGGAATTTATAATATACTGTTAGCTGCGAAGTGATGCCTACTGCCCTCCAGGCACTCAGTAGTTACTTCTTACAAAGCGTGTTGTGACCCATGTTGGGGTTGGCTCGAGTGCCTCGCGTGCTTGTTATCTCCCCCTGACGCGTATGGCTGCAGCCGGTGGTAACGCCCGTGCTTAAGCTCGGCGACGCCATAGGACGGCACGAGGCGTGCCAAGCATTGCAATACTTGAACTTACGCCACGCGATCCGATGGTAGGGATCATGCCTCGCACAAAAATGTACCGATTGGCGTGAGCTTGTGATGCCAGAAATCCATCCATTCAAAAACTGGGGGATTCTATTTTTTAATTTTTGCACTTGGCCACTGGTGCATTTACCAGCGGCCCTTCGACGTTGCGTGTACCCGTCTGCTGCGGCCAATAGTTGTCTAAGCACGTTTCTGTGGGGGTTAAGAATGGCAGGCCCCATCCATCCCACGGCCAGTAATCGGTGATGGCAGTGGCTACCAAACGGTTGGGGGCCAGCGGCGGGCTGCTGGTCATCCCCGTCAGCAGCGGCTGCCAAGGACTCACGTGTCGGGCCGGGTGGCGGCGGACAGCTTGCGGGCGCGCTCGTTGTCGAAGTCGTCGCCAGCCGTCGGGTCGTAGTCGGGGTCGTGTCGGCGTCGACGGCGGTCGGCGGCTGGCCCTCGACGGTGACGTGCCGCGCCCCGGTAAGGCGCACCATCGCTGCGACAGGGTCGCGGTACGTTAGCGCCCGGCCGACCTCGACGTCCATACACCGCCGAGCCCGTGCGCCCGATAAGGCGCACCATCGCTGCGACAGGGTCACGGCACGTTCGCGCCCGGCCGACCTCGACGTCCATACACCGCCGAGCCCGTGCGCCCCGGTGGCGCACCATCGCTGCGACAGGGTCACGGCATGTTAGCGCCCGGCCGACCTCGACGTCCATACCCGCCGAGCCCGTCCGTCAGCAGCTGGTGCCGTCAGCGCCCGACCGACCTCGGCGCCCACACATCGCCCAGTCCGTCCGCCGGCGGCTGGTGCCGTCAGCACCCGATCCTACCGTCCCGTCCCAGTCTGTCGGTTGTCCTGGCCAGCCCCCTCCGTCCCAGTCTGCCGGCTGTCTGGCCAGCCCACCTCCCGTCCCAGTCTATCGGCTGTCCTGGCCAGCCCACCTCCCGTCCC